AGAGTAATTTGCGTTCATGGGTTCCTTCCTCGCCTCCGGTTTTTCACATATTTAAACTTTTATTTCAGGGGTCCTTTTTCATTCATTTCAAAAGCTTTTTTTGGGCCGGCAAGTTATTTCCAAGGCAGGGGTTTTCACCGCACGCTAGTATCACCTGGGAATCTTTTTAAAATCCTGATTTCTGGGCCTCATCCTCCGGAAATTCTGTTTCTTTGTTTTGGGGTGGGGCCACAACATTAGTAACAAAGAAACAGAATTTCCGGAGGATGAAGCCCAGAAATCAGGATTTTAAAAAGATTCCCAGGTGATTCTAATGTGCAGCCAAGGTTGAGAACCACTGCTCTAGAGCATTTCTTGCCCTTAGTAAAGAAAGAGGCTGTGGAACATGGCTTGGAAAATGTCTCCTGTTATAGGAAGCGTTGAGAATCTGGATAAACTCTGCATGGGTAGACAGGTGGAAACCTGAGCAGTGACTGCTAACTGGTACTCTTTTTTTCAATGTGCCCTAACTTGTGTTATCTTTTTGTTTACCCAGGTATCCGTCAGCTTCAACTAATACTTTTGAAAGTAGCATTGATCCTAGGCATTGAAATTCATGTCAGTGTAGAATTCCAAGGACTTGTACACCCTCCTGAGGACCAAGAAAATGAACGTGAGTTGAATTGGAAAAGGGGGGAGTAGGGATAAAAGGGCATCAAATGGGTGAGAAAAGGTGAGATCAAAGCAGAAAACTATAGGAATCTGTGGGTTGTTTTCAGAACTACTTAAAAAGGGCTTCTCTGTATAGCCAGTATCTTTTGAGGAACTTTTGATTTAATGAAGAGGCCTTCGAGATAGTAGTAGACATTGCAAGCACTTGTATTCATTATAGAAAATTGTATGGTGGGAACGTTCCTTTGTGAGGCCTCTTTCTTTCTGTGGTTTGTACCCCATGCTTTTAAACCTGTTTTTGGCTTGGTGTTTGCCTACCTGGGTATCTTGAGATGTCTTAGGTGTATGAATATGATCTGGGTGACAACCTTCAATTTTACTTTGGTCTACAGGGATAGGTTGGCGGGCACTGGTGCACCCTAAAACCCATCCTGTGTCAGAATATGAATTTGAAGTGATCATTGGAGGGGATGGCCGTAGGAACACCTTGGAAGGTATTGGTCATTATTCATTTTCCTGGTTTATTGCAGAGTAAAGGGTGACCTTCTCCAAACCCTGGGGTGAGAATTTGTGTCATCAGAGAGGATCTACATATGTGTGCTACCTACTCTAATTTAATGGCAGCCCCAGTCTTTCTAGCCAAGTGGTACTTGGTTTACTTCTTACAGGGTAATCTTGTTAGGGTACTAAGAGACAAGCTATACTTTGAGCAGTTGGCACTACAGGATTAAATCTCAGCTTAATAAAAGATGGCTTCCCTTTTTTTTAAAAAAAAAATGGAATTCCTAGTATTAAGTAACATTCTGGTTAGTCAGATTTCAAATTTTTTGTTAGTGTGCAGGAGACTTTGACTTCTTTTCTGGATTGTTATATTCTTTGATGGGTAAACACCTTATTTTCAGGTTGAGAAGAGCTGCCCTAAAATTTTTCCATTGATTTTTATCACCTATGTTCCCAAATGTCATCATCAATACCCGCTTCCTGTTTGAAGTGACCTTCCTTCCTCTCTAGCCAACTGCTGCCACATCTGAAAATTTCTTTCCCTCCAGGATTTCGTCGGAAGGAATTTCGAGGCAAACTGGCCATTGCCATTACAGCAAATTTTATCAACCGAAATACAACAGCAGAAGCCAAAGTGGAAGAGATCAGTGGAGTGGCTTTCATATTCAACCAAAAATTTTTCCAGGAGCTCAGGGAAGCTACAGGTTGGTATCAGTGCCTTGAAAGCAATAAGGATAGAACTTTAAATAACTACTTGTGGCTTTCTCTTGGATAGTTTGGTGGTTGGGTAATCATTGGTGTTACTGTGTCATTTACCCGTTGCTCCTTCCTCACTCACATGCTTTGTTCTAAGTGTAATGCTTTCCATCATTGATTGCTACTCTAATGTTCTTTATCCTCATCACAGGGACTGAGATACTCTGGATTGGGTTTTTACTATATTTGTGTGTTTGTTTTTAAGTGTTTGTGCTGTCTTTTACCAACTCTTCTCCTACCCCTTCCTCTACACTGTGGCTCTAAGTCAGCGGTTCTCAACCTGTGGGTCGAGACCCATTTGGGGGTCTAACAACCCTTTCACAGGGGTCGCCTAAGACCATCGGAAAACACATATATAATTACATATTGTTTTTGTGATTAATCACTATGCTTTAATTATGTTCAATTTGTAACAATGAAATTGGGGGTCACCACAACATGAGGAACTGTATTAAAGGGTCGCGGCATTAGGAAGGTTGAGAACCACTGCTCTAAGTGGTTTAATGCAGTAACCTATTGGCTGGTAGTTCTCTGGTTTATTGAGAACCTGACTTTAGGCATTGAGTGTACTACTTTGTCTACTAAGTTCTACTTTGGTCTTGAAGTAAACCATATGCTAGATAGGAATGAGATTTTTATATGATAGCTTTTGAATAAATTAACTTAGATGTTTCGATGCAACAAAAATGTACAGCAGATTCTAAATTCTCTGTTTTCTAGAACATGATTTCTTTCCATTACATCTATTTTTTAGATTAATTGAAATTAAAACCGATAGTTCACTCTCTGCTTCCAGTTCTAGGAGATTCCCCCAGTTGCCTTGATGACTATAAAAGAGGTTTAACCCGATAACTAACCCAGACCGTCTTACTAAGGGTTAATCTTTCTTTTTCTTTCAATCTTTATATATTTCTGCTTACTATTGATCATTGTTTTTAGGATAACTTAGAGTGTCAAGTGAGTTACAGAGCAGTACAAAGATAAACAAAGTTCCCCCTCTTTTTATGAACCGAATGTTCAGGAAGTGAGAATCTGGACTCAGACATCTTTTTTGCTTTCTCTTTTCCTGCTTAGGGTTTTACAACCCTGGTCTCTGTGGACCCACATACAATCTCTCTGGCTGCCCTAATATACCTTCAACATTTTTGTTTTGCAGGTATTGACTTGGAGAACATCGTCTACTACAAAGATGACACACACTATTTTGTAATGACGGCCAAAAAGCAGAGTTTACTGGACAAAGGGGTGATACTGCATGTAAGTGATAGATTTCTTTTAAACCTCTTTTTATGTTGTACTGGTTAGTATGATCACCAAGAGAAAGAATTTTATTGTCAGATGAGTTTTCCTGCAAGGGAATGAAAACAAGCCCCCTAACTCATCTGGTAACATGTACTCTAATGTTTTTTAGTTAAACTTAAAAAAGTACTGTTTATTATGGAAATTTTCTAATATAAACAAAAGTAGAGAGGATTATCTGATGAACTCCCATGTGTCTATTATCTGGCTTTCAGAATTATCAACACATGACCAATATTGTTTCATTAGTACCCAACTCACTCCCCAGTCCTGCAATTGGATTGTTCCAAAGCAAATCTCAGATAATTCAGGAATAAATATTCAGTTTAATTTTAGGTGATTTGATTTGTGGTTCTAGAGAATTTCATGTATGACCAATTATTGGTTAGGTCATCTTTTGGAAGGGGTGCTAGAGGGAATGGAGTTTGACCAAGAAGCAATAGTTGGTGTTTATGGGAGCCTGAAAATGGTTCTGGTTTTACTCTAGATGTGGCTGTCAGAAGTCCAGGGAACCCTGACTCGATCAGGGTGTATTGAAACCTCTGCATAACCTAACAGTAAAGGCTGCTTATTCATCCTTAGCCAGATCCTCCTGCTCAGCCTTTTTTTAGGTGACTAAATGTATGACATTCCGTGAGATGATGATCTGAATAGGAAATCAGAAAACCACAGGGTAGAGGGTTCCTTAAGGAGAATTTCTTAAGTCTGATATGGTCTCAATGTGAGAATTACTATCCCCACATGTGCAATTCCCACCACAGTCTCATGGCTGAATTTGAGGGTGTCCTCTGTCTCTGTAGGATACTAATGAATCCGGTCACTTTAATCTGCAGTATACTGTAGCCTTATCTGAGAGCAATGGTAGGGGTGAGCATATGAACATGTACCTGCAACACAGCCTCTTTCCACTTGTTACCTTGTATCTGCTTCTTAACCTTGTGGTCCTTTATGTCTATGAGGAGAAACAGGACCAAGCAGTGTGTGCAGCCCATTCTGCCAAGAACATAAACAAGATGTATTTGAATGTTTTATCAGTAAAAAATAGGCAGTGTGCCCATTGTTATCAGTCGAAATTATGTAGGAACGATCTGGAATGCCAAGACTCTGATTTACTTTTCCTTTTTGTTTACTTATTTTTTTTAGAGGGCAAGAGCCATCCCTTCTGTGTGTGCTGCTAAACACTAAATTCATTCTGACCACTTACTTAATGGTGAACAAACTGTTTCAAGGGCCAACTTGAGTATTTGTGTTTTGGCTTTTAACATCTTGTAGTGGTAACTGAAAGTACCATCAGGGACACTTGGAAACCATAAGCCCCACTTCAGGAGAATAAAGATTTGGCTCAGTATGTCAGGAACCTCCAAAATAGAAAAGTAGTTTTTCAGCCATTTATGTGGAAAACCCCTTTTCTCTCATTATTGTTTTTCTTTGTTGGGGGGTTCTATAGAGCCTTTAAGAATCTTATTATTAATTTTTAAACCTCTGTTCCATTTTGAATATATTTCTTCCCAGTCCCCTCCAAAACCTTTTGGCACTGAAACTTTTGGGTTTTTGGAGTTATGCAAGTTAAGTGTTTTGTGTGGCCCCAGTTGCCAAAAGCTATTTGCTACCCAGAAGGTAATAATTGCTGATAGTAACATAAACTATAAAGTGCTTTTTCAGTTTACCAGCACTATCACATAAGTTATTTTATTTAGTATTCAGAATAACTCTATGAAGTGGATTGGACAGTATCAAAGAAGTAGTAATTTGCTCCAAATACATGGAAAAGCCAGCACTAAGCAACAAAGCCTGGTCTCTTTTAGAAACAGCCCCCCCCCTTTTTTTTTATTCTTTATTGATTAAGGTATTACATGTGTGTCCTTATCCCCTGATCCCCCCCACACACACCCCTCTTCATGCCCTCACCCCCCTAGTGTCTGTGTCTATTGGTTATGCTAATATGCATGCATACAAGTCCTTTGGTTGATCTCTCCCCCTCCCCCCCACGCTCCCCTGCCTTCCCTCTGAGGTTTGACGGTCTGATCGATGCTTCTCTGTCTCTGGATCTGTTTTTGTTCATCAGTTTATGTTGTTCGTGATATTTATCCTTCTCTGACTGACTTATTTCACTTAGCACAATGCTCTCCAGGTCCATCCTTGCTGTTGCAAATGGTAGGAGTTCCTTCCCTTTTACCGCAGTGTAGTATTTCATTGTGTAGATGTACCACAGTTTTTTAATCCACTAATCTGCTGATGGGCACTTAGGCTATTTCCAAATCTTAGCTATTATAAATTGTGCTGCTATGAACATAGGGGTGCATATATCCTTTCTGATTGGTGTTTCTGGTTTCTTGGGATATATTCCTAGAAGTGGGATCACTGGGTCAAATGGGAGTTCCATTTTTCGTTTTTTGAGGAAACTCCATACTGTTCTCCACAGTGGCTGTACCAGTTTGCATTCCCACCAGCAGTGCATGAGTGTTCCCTTTTCTCTGCATCCTCACCAGCACTTGTCATTTGTTGATTTGTTGATGATAGCCATTCTGACAGGTGTGAGATGGTACCTCATTGTCATTTTGATTTACATCTCTCGGATGATTAGTGACTTTGAGCATGTTTTCATATGTCTCTTGTCCTTCTGTATGTCCTCTTTCAAAAAGTATCTTTTTAGGTCTGTTGCCCATTTTTTGATTGGGTTGTTTATCTTTCTTTTGTTAAGTTGTATGAGTTCCCTGTAAATGTTGAAGATTAAACCCTTATCGGATATAACATTGGCAAGTATGTTCTCCCATGCAGTGGGCTCTCTTGTTGTTTTATTGATGGTTTCTTTTGCTGTACAGAAGCTTTTTATTTTGATGTAGTCCCATTTGTTTATTTTCTCTTTAGTTTCCATTGCTCTAGGGGCTGTATCGTTGAAGATAGTGCTTCAACATATGTCTGAGATTTTGCTGCCTGTGGATTCCTCTAAGATTTTTATGGTTTCCCATCTTACGTTTAAGTCTTTTATCCATTTTGAGTTTATTTTTGTGTATGGTGTAAGTGGGTGGTCTAATTTCATTTTTTTTGCATATATCTGTCCAATTTTCCCAACACCATTTATTGAAGAGACTGTCTTGACTCCATTGTATGCTCTTGCCTCTTTTGTCAAATATTAATTGAGCATAGTGGTTTGGGTCGATTTCTGGGTTCTCTATTCTATTCCATTGGTCTGTTCTTGTGCCAGTACCAAGAAGTTTTGAGAACAGTGGCTTTGTAATACAGCTTGATATCTGGTATTGAGATCCCTCCTACTTTGTTCTTCTTTCTCAGGATCGCTGTAGCTATTCGGGGTCTTTTTTTATTCCAGATGAATTTTTGGAGAGTTCGTTCTAGGTCTGTGAAATACACCGTTGGTATTTTAATGAGGAGTGCATTGAATCTATAGATTGCTTTGGGTAGTATGGACATTTTAATGATGTTGATTCTACCAATCCATGAACATGGTATGATCTTCCATCTGTTTATGTCTTCCTCTATCTCTTTTTTCAGTGTCCTGTAGTTTTCTGAGTACAGGTTTTATACCTCCTTAGTTAAGTTTATTCCTAGGTATCTTAATTTTTTTGGTGCGATGGTAAATGGAATTGTTATTTTAATCTCTCTTTCTGTAAGTTCATTATTGGTGTATAAAAATGCCATAGATTTCTTGGTGTTAATTTTGTATCCTGCTACATTGCCGAATTCATTTATTAAGTCTAATAATTTTTTGATGGATTCTTTAGGGTTTTCTCTGTACAGTATCATGTCATCTGCAAATAATGACAGTTTTACTTCTTCTTTTCCAATTTGGATACCTTTTATTTCTTCTTCTTGTCTAATTACTATGGCTAGAACTTCCAGTACTATATCAAACAGGAGTGGTGAAAGTGGGCATCCCTGTCTTGTTCCTGTTCTTAGGTGAAATGGTTTTAGTGTTTGCCCACTGAGTATGATGTTGGCTATAGGTTTGTCATATAAGGCTTTTATTATGTTGAGGTATGATCCCTCTATTCCCACTTAGCCTTCCCCTTTTTCTTTGTAATATGTTTAAAAGACTTGTTTTGGAATATGCAATCACTTTAGGGGAATGGGAAAAGCGGTGAAAAACTCGGTTATGTCCGATATGTGTAGTGTGGCTTGAGCCAGTTAGACTTGTACTTAGACTTTTCCACCGAGCCTCTTCCCTTTCTGGAACTAGGACTATGCCGACACAGAGCTCTTGCTTTCCCGGGAGAATGTGGACCAAGAGGCTCTGCTGAACTATGCCAGGGAAGCAGCAGACTTCTCCACCCAGCAGCAGCTACCATCTCTGGATTTTGCCATCAATCACTATGGGCAGCCCGATGTGGCCATGTTCGACTTCACTTGTATGTACGCCTCTGAGAATGCTGCCTTGGTGCGAGAGCAGAATGGACACCAGTTACTAGTGGCTCTGGTTGGGGACAGCCTCCTAGAGGTGAGTATTAAGGATGACGGCACTTAATAGTAGTTGGAAACAAACCTAGGTGCTTTGATTGTGGAGTGAGTGTCTACAACATTATACCACATAAGTGAACTCCCTATAGGAGTTATATTTCCTGATATAGGGAAGCATCACAGGCCACGGGGAACCCAGACTTGCTAAGTAGCAATGGAAATGCTGCAACATCCTTGACTTGCCCTTCTACCAATTTATGAAGCAGAAACTTCCTTAACTTGCCCTTCTACCAGTTTGTGAAGCAGAGAAGTCCAGTATCTGAACAGTTGCCAAAGACTACTTTCAATAGCAATCTCTTTCTTAGTTACTTAGTTTACTTTCTCTCTTTTAAAATGTAAGTTATTTTAATTATTTGTTTTATATCTTCTTGATAGCCTTTTTGGCCAATGGGAACAGGAATTGCCCGGGGCTTTCTAGCTGCTATGGACTCCGCCTGGATGGTACGAAGTTGGTCTCTAGGAACAAGTCCCTTGGAAGTCCTGGCAGAGAGGTAATGGGAAGTAACCAGGGGTTCCTTTTGTGAGAAAAAACTGGGAGTGGTGAGTGTTTTGCTCTTAAGACAAAACACAGGTTCGTTCTTCCTTCTATCTCCCTGTTTTAATTAAAGATGTTTTCTTATTCAAGAGAGGAAAGGCAAGATATTTATTCAAGAAATTATAAAATGTAAAGATTATCTAAGTGTTTTTCTCTTATCCCTGTCCAAACTCAATTTGTTGTGGACTAATGGTATCTGAATCTTTGTATACCTTTGAAAGATGGTATCTGAGTCCTTTATGACAGTCACATAAACAAATACATAAAAATAGTACATTAAATCCTCTCGTTCTTAAACTAGAAAGGTGTAAACTAATGAAATCAATGTCGTAATAGGGGACATACTCAAATAAGAGATGAGATTAAAAGTGACTTTGAATTCAAAGGAAAATACCAAACTGCTTGTAAACATTTCTCAAGTTTTCAAATGTCAGATATTTTGAAGCAGATTATTGCAAATAAGGTAAGAATCTTGGTATTTGCTGATAATGAACAAATACCTTAACCTGAAAAACTAGAGAAAGAAGATTTCCTGGATGAAATTGGTGGTTGATGTCATTTTAAGTCTGTTACTTAAGGCACTCTGGGTAATTTGATGACAAGTTCTTTTTTCATCTGTGATTCTCTTACATATTAAATATTGGCATACTTGAAAAAACAAAGCAGTAAATTACTTGCCTTTTAAATTAAGGTCATACTTTTTATCTCTGCCCACAGCAATGTCTTTGCTATTCTCGTTGGCCCTTAACCAGGCCTATGGAATTATTGAGCTGGTGGGAATGGGAAGCAAGAGCTGATGTAGGATTGGAGGAAACCAGTCAAGGATGAAGATTTATCATCCTTCAGATAATTTGGGGACTGTCAAAAAATAGAAATATTCTCAAAGTAGAAGGAGATGTTCGTGGTCCTTGTCATGCTCTGAGTATATTGCTGTGTTATTACAGGGAAAGCATTTATAGGTTACTGCCTCAGACAACCCCTGAGAATGTGAGTAAAAACTTCAGCCAATACAGCATAGACCCTGTCACCAGATATCCCAATATTAACATCAACTTTCTCCGGCCAACCCAGGTAAGTGTCTTCTAGTCAGTGATCCATATCTGGGTCCTTTGAAATTTGCCTATTAATAACAAACATATATACAACCTTTCCCTCAAGTAGATTCAAGTAGATTCAAGTAGATGTCTCTCTGAGTTGGTTGAAGTAGATATTATTGTCCATCAACAAATTGAGCAGCTAAGGCAGAGAGTTGTTGAATAACTTGCCAGAAGATCAGACGTGACAAAAATGATGGATCCAGGGATTTATCCCAGGTCTCCTGATTCAAATTGTATCTTGTAGGGAAAGAGCACTTGTTCACTAGTCAGGAAATGTGACTTTCACTTGCATTATCACAAACAGTCTCTTGTAACTTGGACTGGTCATTTCACTTTCTCTGAACCTCAGTTTCTTTATTTGTAAAATGAAGGTGATCATCCCTGCTACTCACAGACAGGATCATTGTGAGGACAACTGAGATTATTCACTGGAAAGAACTTTAAAAGATAAGACACTCTCTACAATTAAAAAATATTGTAGGTCATTTTTGTACTGAGTTATTTCTCAGAATGTCTAAAGCCTTATAACTACTTTAAGAATGACATAGTTTAGACAGAAGTTATGATAATTTACAGAGCACAATTATCCTAAAGAGCCCATCAGTTTTTAGAAAGTAGTCTATTCAACATATTTGCCAATGTTGTAGAGTAATTGTTTATTCACTTTCTACCTGAAGTTGACACCTTTAGGCTTTTTATACTTACGTGTGGTAAGTCTATAAGACATCCATGAAACCTGCTAATAGAGGGCAGCACTAGGGGTCCAACATACCCAACAAAACAAGTGCATAACAACACCAAAAAACATATAATAGGCATTATTCATAACATGCAGAAACCAGAAACAACCTCAACATCCATCAGCAGTAGAATAAATTAATTGTAGTATATTTTACAATAGAACATGTACAGTCATGAGAAAGACTGAAATATTTGCTACATTCAACATGAATGAATCTCAGAGTCATTAACTGTGCAAACAAAATCCACATACAAAAGAATATGTACTTTATAATTTCATTTACATAAAGTTCAAAAACAAGCAAAATTAATCCTTGGTGATAGAAATCAGAATAGTGGTCATCTTTGGGATCAGAATACTGACTGCAAGCCTGGAGATGTTGTAAAGTTTGATCTGGGTTGTTATATGGGTACTCAAGGCCGGGTGCATGAATTCGTGCACCAGTGGGGTCCCTTGGCCTGGCCTGTGGGATGGGGCCGAAACCAACTCTCCAACATCCCCCGAGGGGTCCCAGATTGTGAGAGGGCGCAGGTCAGGCTGAGGGACCCCACCGGTGCACGATCGGGGCCAGGGAGGGACGTGGGAGGGCTTCAGGGCGTGTCTGGCCCATCTTGCTCAGTCCCAATCGGCCTGACCCCAGCAGCAAGCTAACCTACCAGTCGGAGCTTCTTCCCCCTGGTGGTCAGTGTACATCATAGTGAGCGGTTGAGCAGCCTTAGCATATCATTAGCATATAACCCTTCGATTGGCTGAATGGACGACTGGACACTTAGCATATTAGGCTTTTATTATATAGGATATTCATTTACAAAAATGCATCATTTTACTATATGTATTATCAATTAAAAAGTAGATTTTGCCCGGCTAGTGTGGCTCAGTGGTTGAGCGTAGACCTATGAACCAGGAGGTCATGGTTCAATTCCAGGTCCAGGCACATTCCCAGGTTGCAGGCTTGATCCCCAGTAGGGGGCATGCAGGAGGCAGCTGATCGATGATTCTCTCTCATCATTGCTGTTTCTGTCTCTCCTGCCTTCCTCTCTGAAATCAATAAAAAAACATTTTTTAAGTAAATTTTTTTTTCAAAATAGGTCCAACAGAGATTATCAGAAGGACTTCTGTAGCTGAGTAGTGGATTTTTAGCACAATTTATGTATTTGTTTATATGTAACCTAGGTCATCATCATAACTTCTGTCTAAACTTTGCCCAGTCTGCTATCACAATCTTTCATCTGTCATTCTCTTCTCTGGTGGGGATTTGTTACTTGTTTGATTTTCCTTCTTTACAACTTTTTACATTTCTGCCAGGTGCGCCATTTATATGATACTGGAGAAACAAAAGATATTCATCTGGAAATGGAGAACCTGGTGAATTCCCGAACTACCCCAAAGTTGACTCGCAATGGTGAGTTCTGATAATGCTCTTTTGAAATGTAGGTAACCTATTCAGAGAAGTCTGTAATTATTTATTGAGCTCTTAGTGTACATAGTACTGCGCAAGGCAGTGGTTCTCAACCAGACATGATTTTGCCCCTTAGAGGACATTTGGTAGTTTCTGGGGACATTTTTTATTGTCTTGAGTTGAAGAGGATGTTACTGACATCCAAGGATGCAGCTAAACCTCCTACTGCACATAAATCAGCTCCCAGCCAAAAATATCAGTGTGTCAAGGTTAAGAAACCTTGATGTAAGGTATTATGAGGAAATAAAGAGAAACCAGATAGAGATGCTATTGAGAAAGAGAAAAGGGCAGCATGTGGGCACATACACACGCCAGCTAAGGTTTTGGGGGTAAGGCTTTATGGAAGAAATAGTGGCATTTTAACTGAGTACTATGATATTGCCAGGATACAGTGACAGAGACAAAGGCCATTTCATATTTTGTGTGTATTGAAAGGTCCCTGAAGATTTGTTTTAAAGGAGAGTGATGTGAGTATACCTCTACATGTAAGATGGGATGGAGAAGGCAAATGCCATTACAATAGTCAGCTAACAGTTGTAAAGGCCTAAATCTGGTATTGATATTGAGGATGGAAAGAGAACAGTGGACCATAATTAGAAGAAATCTCACTTTGGGGTCAGGTACAACTGGGTCCCAGTCCAATCTTTGCCATTTGTGAAGTGTGTGGTCATGAGCAGGTTATATAGTATCTCTGAACTTGAGTTCCTTGTCTATGAAATGAGGATAACAACACCTACCTCACATTATGGTTATGAGGATTCCGTGACATACATAGCTGGTTTATCACGATGCCTGACAACTGTGTTCTTCCTACCTTCAATAATTTTTTTAACTGGATATGTGTACTACAAAGAGGATCCCATATTAATGCTACCAAGTGACAACACTATCATTAATATTATTTTTGTTCTTTTAGAGTCTGTACCTCGTTCAAGCAAACTGCTTGGTTGGTGCCAAAGGCAGACAGATGGCTACACAGGGGTCAATGTGACAGATCTCACTATGTCTTGGAAAAGTGGCCTGGCCCTATGTGCAATTATCCATAGATACCGCCCTGATCTGATGTAAGTTGTGACCAGACTTTCTGTTTCATTTTATATTCCCTAAGGATCTTAGAGTACCCTGCTATCAAGTAGCCAAATTTGTACTTTTTTTTTTTCTAGTAAGAAACTTTCTCTAGAAAGCAATGATTAATTTCGACTTAATTACATTTAAAACTCTGAATGTTAAGTATTATGTAGCTCAATAAAGAAATGATTAGCTGAGTTTTTAACAGCACTCAAAAGGTCAAAAATTTGTTTTAACACCCACTTGGGTGTATTAACTTCACATAATGGAAAACTCTGTTTACTGGCCACAGGTTGAACTCTTCATTTCAGCCAACTATCTCTCAAATGTTATTGGTCATAAGGAAAACCTGGCTAGAACATTTGGCTGGCTGATGGCAAATGTGTCAGGCACTACCAATAAAACAAAACAATTAGTGCTTCCCCACTTTATAATGGTTCATCGGTATTCTCTTATGTTAAGGATTGCACTTTCTGCTAAGATACTTTGTGAATCCCACAAAACTAAGGTCACCTCACCCACCTACACCAGTAACATCTCCTCTTTTGACCATTAGTGACTCACCCAAGGGCAGAATCAGTACAATAGGATGACCCCAGGTCACCTGCGGACACTAGTGCACTCAGGTTTCCACCCTGGGCATTCTCCCAAACAAGAATACAGTGGGGCCTTGACTTACGAGTTTAATTCTTCCGAGACCGAGCTCTTTAAGGAGCTCGTTAAGGAGCTCGTTAAATCAAATTACTCTATCAACTCAATGCAAAAAATCGGAGGAGAGACAGCTGGTATCTCAAAAAACTCGTCGGGACACTCGTAAGTCAAGGCCCCACTGTATTTGGAAACAGAAGCAGAGCATGTTGAATTATTTTGGCTGCCTGTTCTTTTATTATTAGGTTCACTGAAGGGCCCAATTTTGGTGTGTTTATTTTAATGATTCCTTAAGAAATCCTAAAGGACATAGTTCCTATTTATTTTAGGTTATGAGTTAATGAGGCAAGAGCTGTAAAAACAGCATTGTATAATGTGATTTAGGAATGGGAATTTCTGACCTCTATGCTCTTCTACCTTAGCTTATGCACAGATGACAGTAGGGCTTACCCCACCAGAAAAAAAAGGGGGTGACGAGGTGTAAAATTGGAGTTGCTCAAGGATTTACTAGGTGTACTGGTTAATAATGCGGATTTTTTTTTCCAATAAATGGAGTTACACATATATTGATATATATGCAATTTGATATGTATGCTATTTTGTTGTATTGACAACAAGCTTCAAAACTTCATATGCCAAATTTTCTGAAGGTGTTAACTTCATAGATATTTTTACGCTTAAAAATGTCGAATTTCGTGCCAAAAAAAGAGCATTCGCAGGAAGTTTTAATTCATTACTTTATTTTGAAGAGAAGTGCTGCTGAATACTTCAGGAAGCTTATGGTGAACATGCTCCATCTCAAGATACTTGTGAATGCTGGTTTAAACTCTTTAAAAGTGATGATTTCGATGTGAAAGACAAAGAACGTCCAGATCAACCGAAAAAGTTTGAAGACCAACAATTACAAGCATTATTGAATGAAGATGCCTATCAAACTCAAAAAACAACTTGCAGAAAGATTAAACGTTGCTCGGCAAATAATTTCTGATCATTTACAAGCAATGGGAAAGATTTTAAAGGAAGGAAAATGGTTGCCACGTCAACTGAACGAAAGACAAATGGGAAAACTGAAAAGTCATCAGTAAAATGTTGCTTCAACGGCACCAAAGAAAGTCTTTTTTGCATCGAATTGTGACTGGTAATGAAAAGTGGATTTATTTTGAGAATCCCAAATGCACAAAATCATGGGTTGATCCAGGTCAACCATCAACATCGACTGCAAGGCCAGATCGCTTCAGAAAGAAGACAATGCTCTGTGTTTGGTGGGATCAGGAAGGTGTGATGTATTATGAGCTTCTAAAACCAGGTGAAACCATTAATACTGATCGCTACCGACAACAAATAATCAATTTGAACCACGCTTTGATCGTGAAATGACCAGAATGTTCCAGAAGACACGGCAAAGTAATTTTGCTTCATGATGATGCACCATCACACACTTCAAAACCAGTTAAAGACACGTTAAAAGGTCTTGCCTGGGAAGTATTAACCCACCCGCTGTATTCACCAGACCTTGCTCCTTCAGATTACCACTTGTTCCGATTGATGGCACACACACTTTCTGAGCAGCACTTCAAAACATACGAACAAGTGGAAAATTGGATCTCTGAATGGTTTGCCTCAAAACAAGAAAAGTTCTATTGGGACAGTATCCACAAATTACCTGAAAGATGGGGGAAATGTGGACATTTCTTTGAATAAAGCACTTTTGATGTTTCTCTTGAAATTATCGTGTTTTCTTTGATTACAAAATCCGCCATTATTAACTCATACACCTAGTAGGCTGACGCAGCGAGCAAGCAGGAGGGAAGTTTATTAGAGGGAATGGGGAATGGAGCCACAACCAGGGAAGGTTAGGACTCAGCCTCCACTGTCCTTGGGGTTGAATTTTATGCGCAAAAATCACAAGGGTTGGAGGCTGGGGGATGTAAGTGTTCTAGTCTGATTAGATGGAGTTTATTGTCCTTCAGACTGATCAGTGCTGGCCGTTGAGGCTGTGGGCTGTAGGTGGCCGTTGTTATCGTTGGCCTGCTGTCTCACCCTCAGGTGCGGCTGCCTCCTGTTTTGCCGGATAGGGTGACCGCAGGCTGTTCCATGAAATGAGGCTGGGGCCACTTTCTCCTTCAGGACTTTCTAGTCTGCCTGAGCCAAATGTCCTCTGCTGGCCTGTCAGGAGGAAGAGGGAGAGCTTGAGAAAGATTGTGATAAATGGCAAAGAAATGCTTAAAGAAGGGCCAGGTGAATCAGTTCTATTCCCTAGGGAAGGCAGTAAAAAAAGGATGAAATCAGAAGTAATTGACTTCAAAAATTGGTTTTAACACCTACCTGGGTATATTAACTTCATGTAATGGAAAACTCTATTGTCCACAGGTTGAACTCTTCGTTTCAGCCAACTATCTCTCAAATGTTATTGGTCATAAGGAAAACCTGACTAGAACATTTGGCTGGCTGATGGCAAATACGTCAGGCACTACCAACAAAACAAAACAGTTAGTGCTTCCCTGCTTTACAATGGTTCATTGGTATTCTCTTATGTTAAGGATTGCACTTTCTGCTAAGATACTTTGTCAGTCCCACAAAACTCAGGGAGAGGTGGGGTGGAGGGGTGAGTGTAGGGTGAGGGACACATCCCTGTTGGAATATACCAAAGGCTGTCTGGAGAAGACCTAGGGCAGGGGTGGGCAACCTTTTTGTGAGTGCGTGCCAAAACCAGCAAAATCTCTGACTCAAAATTCTTCTGCATGCCAACCCTAATTTTTTGAGAACATGTTACGCCTACTTGATATCTCTTAAGGTGTACGTATGTGAAGAACCTTGAAGAAATAATAAAATTCATTCGAGCGACAAAAACACAGTATATGATGATGAAAAATACATTTATTTTTTAATGTATACATGTACACTGATAGTCCGACAGAAAACTTTATGACTCCGTTTGATATTATCAGTGGGACTTTTGCTGCTGCATCACTGATGACAGAGATTTTACATCAGGTTTATATTTCGTGACCTTCAGAGATATGCACGAGCTACTATCATCCGTCAGGCTACTCCTATTACGAGACTTAACAAAATTCATCACTGAGAACAAAGATTCACAAGCGTATGTGGATGAAACCAAAACACTGGTCGGATCTAGGAAGGCAGGGGAGAGTTAAGGCAGAGGCATAGAAATTGCTCTTCCCCTCTCTCGTCAATCCATGTCTGTGGTCTTTAAGATCACTTGTTATGTAAAATTATTTATCTAAGATGCACCTACACTGAATTTATCTGAAAAATAAAAAAGTCGATAATAAGAAAAAAATTGTAAATGGAAGATTATAAGAGAGGGTTTCGCGTGCCAGCAAAAGTTACTGGCGTGCCATGTTTGGCACGCATGCCAGGGGTTGCCCACCCCTGACCTAGGGTATTTTCTTGTAACAGAAGGCAGAGCAGTGAGTAGGTAATTTGGCACTGTTTAGACCACAATAATGTCATTCAAGATGAGCCTGTAGATTATGAGACTTAAGGAATTTTTTGAAATGGAGTTAGTAGGTTAGCACAATGTAAGGCCTGCCCAGTTAATCTGAAATCACCTGAAGAAGAACGCTTTCAGTTGTTACTTACGATTGAGTAGTAAGAAGCTTGAAATCCGGTGGGAAATGTTTGTTCATCTAAATACTTGGGAAATTTTAAGACATTTAGCAATGGAAAAATCTTTTGAGGAAAGTTTTGGAATTCCCCTTTAAGTAGAAGGCTGAGTAAGGTTTATCAGAGGTGATTTAGCACATCTATAATAGCTTGTCAGGTCCAAAGGACACTATGCGTAATAGTCCCAGGACTTTAAAAATAGTCTGATCCAAATAGGATTTTTATCATTATTTAACATCTATAATAATAAAAGGGTAATATGCTAATTAGACGGGACATCCTTCCCGACAAAGCCGGGGCCAGAGGAAAGCAAGCCCGGGTCCTGGGTGCCAGAGAGAAGCCTGTGTTGGCAGCCGGGGGAAGGAAGGCCTACTCTTACACAAATTTTGTGCATTGGACTTCTAGTTAAGTTTAATAAATACAGATCACACACAAGATGCAAGGGAATACATATTAATGATAGTTCCTATTCTTGAGCTTACATTTTAGTAAGAAATTTCTGTAATTAGAAAAATGAGGATAGTTTAACTTTCCCTCTGTTTTATTCTTTGTCATTTTTTCTTTAATCATTTTTTCTCCTTTGAGGATGATTTATATTTCAAGTTTGCTCTCAGATTTCAGTGAAGCACTGCACATAGGATTTTAGCTGAGCAACAAAGACATGAAGTGACTTCTTGATACTGTTTTCTGGTGTGGGGACAAGCACTCCATCTTGATATGTTTTCTTTATCCTGTTTCTCAGAGATTTTGATTCTTTGGATGAACAAAATGTGGAGAAGAATAACCAACTGGCCTTTGATATTGCTGAAAAGGAACTGGGCATTTCTCCCATCATGACAGGCAAAGAGATGGCCTCGGTCGGGGAGCCTGACAAGCTGTCCATGGTGATGTACCTGACCCAGTTCTACGAGATGTTCAAGGACTCACTCCCCTCCAGCGGTAAGGACTGAGGGCTCTGGTATGGGAGTCTTTCGTGTTCTCTGTTGTTGCCTGGCTTTCTTTCTTTCCCTGTATCCTACATGAGCACCCACAAAAGCAAACTTGTACTTAACTCTGTTTTTACTGGCCAGCTATCAGGGTAAGTCCCTGGGATTTTGCTCCATTGTTTTTTTCCTTCTCAACCACTCATTCTTACCCAAATCTTTCTCACTATATCTATAAATATGTAAAAATCATTCCTATCCAGAATTTTTTTCTTGACTATTATTTTTTCATACTCTTTCTTTCTGATCCAGCCTTTTAAAAATATATATACACTTTTTAAAAAAATTGTTTTCAGAGAGGAAGAGAGAGGGAGAGATAGATAGAAATATCAGTGATGAGAAAGAATTATCTATCGGCTGCCTCCTGCACGCCCCCCACTGGGGATCGAGTCCGAAACCCAGAATCAAACTGTGACCTCCAGGTTCATAGGTCAACACTCAACCACTGAGCCACACTGGCCTGGCTGAATCACCTTTTTTTAAAAAAGTGGGCTACTTCCTCAGTTGCCTAAACTTTGTACACTTTGCAACCTGGCTTCTGCCATTATTCCTCTGCTAGATTGTTCTCCTTGTTCATGAAGAATTGCCAAATCCATGTTTTTCACTTCTTATCTCTTATGCCCTTGGCTTTTTGCATTGTTCAGCACTGTGGAATGACAACTTTTTTTCTGAAACTCTCTTTTCTTTGGCTTCTGTGATCCTGCACTGGACTGGCCTCATTCTCTTCTTTTGGTAACTGTTCCTTCTCTGGCTTCTCTTTCTTCTACATTTTAGTGTTTTCCAAAAATCTTCCTTTCTCCTCAGCCCAATATCTCAATCTGTCAGCATGCTACAAAAAATATTTCTGTTGTCAGCTACCGTCTCTTGGAATAGCATAATGATTAAGAGTGTTGACCTGGGTTTATATCCCAGTACTAACACCTGTTAAACCTTAGGCTAGTTACTCAGTTTTCCTGTGCCTCAGTTTCCCCATCTGTAAAATGGGGCTTTTTCTATGTATAATTAGATTGTGATATGCTAAGAAGAACGTTTGCAAAACGGAAGCACTTAATAAATGTTAACAATATATTATTAGTTTCAATTATTTTAAAAATTACTATTATTACTAATAAAACATTGGAATCCACAGTTTGTGACTCACCAGTGTCTTCCAGCCCATGTACTCATAGATGTTTATAGCTTTTTCCGATTAGATACACAGTCTTTACAACAGAAGTCCACAACTCTAACATCAGTGTACACATTCATGGAGAGCCCCCTCAGTGTGCAGCCTAGTGCATGAGGTATGCATACACCAAACCAGTGACCCTGAGCTGCCTGTCCTCCCTCCCTTTCTCTCTGCCCTAAAATTTTATCACAAAGATGAGGCTTCAGCACTCTACTGTAACTCGTATCACGGGTGAATTCCAACTTTTGAAAAGCAAAAGTGGAGGTTTTTGTGACTGGCGTGGATGGGGAAAGAATTGGTATTGTTTATGTTGATGGAAAAAAGAAGGCTCAGTGTATAAACCTAAGAATGCATTTTCTTTGTGAAATGTCCTGCTAAGTTCCTCATACTTTTGTCCGAGCAAATGAACCTTTAGAGCAGTGGTTCTCAACCTTTCTAATGCCGCCACCCTTTAATACAGTTCCTCATGTTGTGGTGACCCCCAACCATAAAATTATTTTTGTTGCCACTTCATAACTGTAATTTTGCTACTGTTATGAATCGTAATATAAATATCTGATATGCAGGATGTATTTTCATTGTTACAAATTGAACATAACTAAAGCATAGTGATTAATCACAAAAACAATATGTAATTATATATGTGTTTTCCGATGGTCTTAGGCGACCCCTGTGAAAGGGTTGTTCGACTCCCAAAGGGGTCGCGACCCACAGGTTGAGAACTGCTGCTTTAGAGCTTTTGGAGGTTCTGGGAGCC